TTCTCATATTTCTAAGGTGTGTGGTCATCTGCATGCACAAAAATAATAGATAGGGCTGATTTAATATCTTTAATAAAGAAGTTATAGGCCTGAGGCAGGACTACCCACCATGACCTGCCCAGTTAGGAATTTATGATCAGATCATCCTGTGAGATTACTTTCTACAGAACCCTTTTTTTTCCATCCACAGATGCTATTAAATGAATGTTGATGCAAGGGAAATTGCACCATGAAGAGAAAGTAAAATAGTTTTAGTCACAGAGATCTATTTTCTTCAAAGGACTTCAGTAGTGTTTATTATATTTAATAGTCAAGAAAAGCTATTATCTTTTATGTTTTTTCCACTGTAGAGCAGAGATTTGGCACAGTCTGTCTTTTCCTGTCCCATTTTGGGAGCTGGCAGTACTTAAGTTTGTCTGTGCTAGATCACTGCCTGTTACATCTTCTTATGAACTTTCATGATTTTCAAGTACAACATAAAAAATTCTCTTAGGATATTACAACTAAAAGGCATTTATGATTTGTCAATATAAAATACATCCAAACATGTGAGAATTTTTATGAGTTTATTTGAACCAAACTCATGACATTTGGTGGGAAGCAAAATCTCAAGGAATTGAGAAAATGGTCAGGAAATGACAATTTTACCATTTACTTGATACATCAGAATCAAAGAGAATGCCATAAGGGCGTTACATGAAATCCATTGGTGATAGACTAGGGAAGTGGGAGAAAGCAAATGGAGGAAATCTCTTAGATTGTATTAAAAAATGAATCGAGACATACATTCTCTTTTTTTTTTTTTGAGTAAGCAGGTATAGGATAGTTAACAGTTAGCAATTAACATAATAATAATAACAATGAGGGGATCTGTAGTCTCTGTTCTTAATGAGGTGTTTGTTGGGTGGTGCTTTGAGGGGTCCAGCGAAAAAGAAATTAGCTTGATATTACAAAGGTATGTTATCAGGTAAGTAATCTTAGGTACAAAAAGACAACAGGCTCAGTTAAGGTGAAGATCAAATTTTGTTCAGGAAAAATACTGCCCTGGGATATGACCAGCACAGCCTTGAACTGCTTTTAGTAGAAAGTTTTATTTTAGACCATCCTTTGTGGTTGTTTCAGATCTCTGAGTTTGTAAGGCCTCCTCTGAGCTTGTTGGGTGTAGTATGTAGCCTCTTTTTCATCCACAGATTTAATTTTTCCATATTATTTTTTGTGAGAATTAGTTTCTCCTGCTCCTCTCTTTTGACCATGAACAAATACAGCAGTCATTCTACTAGCAGAGGCTCCTCTAGAAGTGCCAACTGTTCTAAGAAGATGCTTTCATTTTGAACAATGAGTACCCACTGAGAAATCTAATTCACAATGTAAATGAAAATGGAGACAACTGTACTTGAACAGCAATTTAAAAAAAAAGAAAAAATATATTCAATTAAAAAAAAAAGAATGTTAAGCAACATAGCTGATTTAAAGATAAATAAGGTATCTTTGTTACCTGACCCTTAATTAGTTTAAAAACAAGTACGAGAGACTGATATTTATGCAAATAATAAAAGGAAATAAACTCAAAGAGGACAGGAGGAACATGCTGAAAATAGGTTAAATGGGAAAATAGACAACTTGGACAATTCTCACCTGAAAATTCTGTTCCCTTTAAATCTCATCATGACCTGTTTGTTAACAATGACTCTTCAGAAACCTAGGATGGTGGTGTGCTCAGCCAGAGGGAGGGTCACTTTAAAATAAGGCCTCAATGATATGAACAATGCATTTTAGAAATCCTTGTAGATGGTAAACAGGGCTGTGCCTAATCTGCCTTCTCCCTGGCCTTCATACTCTCTCCTGAAGTTTTAAATTATTTTGCAGATATTTCAGCAGATATTTCTTCCTCTATACATCTTTCAGATGTTGACTCATACAAGGCAAGACATGTAGCAGATCCCCCAAGATATCTGTTTGATGAAAGTATTGAGGATGAATCCTCAATGTGGCAGCCTACTAGTTTTGCTAACTGAGAAAGCCACTGTATTTTTAGGACTCTCAGACTCACCAGACCATAAGATGCACCTAGGTTTTAGAGGAGGAAAATAGGAAAAAAAATTTGTAGCAAAAAATGTGGTAAAATATTTAATAACATAACATAATATTTAACCAATGTAAATGTAAACTACATTTACTAGCCAGGTAAGCTACATTGAAACTATAAGACACACCCCCTTTTCCTCCCAAATAGGCGGGTGTGTCTTATAGTTTGAAAAATATGGTAGTAATTTCTTTGGACTCTCTGAGGTTGAATTAAATGCTGACATTGATTGAGCCATGAGGAGTTAAAAGCAAAAAGGATCAGCTAACTTGATGCTTTTTCCAGATTATATGCAGAACTAAAAGGCAATTCAAATCTTTGAGAAGCTTGTTGACTGCCTACAACACTTGCTTTTGAATTAATTTGGTAAATCACATATCCTAAGGATATTTAGGATTTGTAGATTCTAAACATGAGTTTGCTCTGTATCGGGAAAAACTGAATTATTTGACCAAAAGGACGTTAGGCTTCAGGTCCCAGGGTACCGAAGGTGTAATACTTTAAAGTCGGAATTTACATGGGGAGAAATTGGAGGAAAGCTGTCTAATCTCCTAACATAAAGGACAAAGTACAGGTGTCCTGGTGTATGTAGAGAACCTGGCTTGTAGATGGCCCCAAGAAATATTTCTTTCTTCTATGGGCCATAGGGAAAGACTGAAATAATTATCAAAGGTAAGTTCTGAATAGAATAGGATATTTAAGGCCAATAATGACATCCTTTCCTATTTGATTTTAATGTTATAACTGAAATTTATGTGGGCATAGTTCAGCTAGGTATGTAATTTAAAGTTTCATTGTTAAAGAGCTTACTCATTTATACTTTTCAATGTTGTCTAATTCACTTTTAAACAAATAGTGATAAAGTTGGCTATGACTCAGAAGCCTTTGTGAAAAACTAAGAATAAAACACTGAACTTTCAGAACAAACTTTGAACAGTTCATTGAATTCCATGGAAAAATCACTTTGCCTCCCCATTTCAATTTACCCATCTGTGAGATGAGAAGGATAATATTTTCTTGTGGTGATGTTTTAAAATTATTTTGCAAATGTAGTAGATGAAATGGAGACAAGTGTCACTGCTTACCCCCACCCCTACTTTTTTAAAGAAACAGACAGTATTATTTATGTACTAGTTGATAGTCAAATTGTCATCTGGGATGAACTGTGTTTATTTATTATCAGTTGTGTGCTTTTTATTGCTTAAAGAATCCTCCTTTCCCCTAGATTGTTTTATTTAAGCATTAGGTCAATACCTAGGAACTCAAGTAAAGTATCTTAAAATTATTCTGAGCTTCATGTTTATGAGCTGCCAATCCTGTGTCCATGGTAATTATTTCTTCTTTCTGTTTTAGCTCAGGTTTTCTCTGATGTAGTTTTTTGCTTCACCTCACTTCACAAAATTGATAGTTGTCCATGTTTCCCTGCTAGAGGTCACCTCTGAGCCGAAGGCAAAACACATCCCAGTCTGGCTCCTATTGACTTTCAAGTCAACTATCAAAGAATTTCCTCCAGACATCTGCTAACCTCAATTTAAAAACTCCACCCTAAAGATTATAGGGAGATATCCTGGGGAGTTGCCAGAATGACTCTAAGAGGTTGGCATCGAGGAGACAAAGCTACTGATACCAGATTTTTATATTTGATAGGTTTAATTATATAAAGTGGTCCTGAACCTCTGTGCTCATGTCATTTAGGTCTGGAAAGAAAATTTCTCCTTTAGGCTCTTCTGCCTCTTATGGTGCCAATCAACAGGCTTCTTGGTAATAAGATTCTTTATGCCAGTATCTCCAGCATAACCTCAAGTGGTGCTTGTAGTAATGATAGAATCACTACAAAACTAAAGAAAAAAGAAGGAAATATATTTCATAGGTGTGATTAAGTCATCATAATGTTCTTGCATATGTAAATTATTCTGGACTTAATGAACTACCTTGCTCACATAAGAGTATTTTAACCTGGCTGTAGAAAGTACATTTTTTTATCCATGTTGATAATTGTTACCAGACTTGGCAGAGTTCATCGTGCTAAGATGAAATTTATGTATTATGTTTTGTTTCCATGTGCATGAATTTTGTTTTAATTATCAGAAGTGCTGTTATTAAATAAAGTTAGTATATTCATTACTTTAATAAATAACTATACTTAGGAAGATGGAAAACTTAATTTCTAATGATATGCAAATTGACAAGGGTCATTTAAAACTTTTTTCTTGGTTATGAAAGAAATATGTACTCAAAACATAAACACTTCAGAAAAGAACAAAGATTATCTCTGTTTCCTAAGTTAGAGTAATCATTTTAAGATTTTGATGGATATGCTACAAGGTGAACAGTTTGAAAACTATTTATAGTGTTTTCTATCACAGATTTGTACTTCTAAAAACAGCTACACAAACAATAAACCTTGATGGAATAGAATTTTCAAAACATTTCCTTTATCATAAATTGAATCAAAAGTCCTAATATCCATATTTTATAGATTTTATTCAAAATTATAAAAGCTACCAGGGAAGCATTTAATGTGTTCCCTCTGCTGCTTTAAAGAGTTCAATTCATCCAAAATTATTCCAGTGCCTTATTAACAAAGATGACCATGTATATAATTATTGCAAGGCCAAGAGAAATTAATAATAGTAATGTTACTATTAAAATATAAATATTTTTGTGTGTCTAGAAAGAAAAGAAGGATTTCTAAAAAATGTAAAGGGCTATAATGGGGTCCTAATTTTATGTTAAGACTGTTGTCCTCTAATTAAGGATTTTTAATTATTTTTCTGTCTTTTTGTAATACATAGTTTTGTTGTTTGGTTCATTTAAGTTTTATTTGTAATGAGCAGTTAAATACAGTATAGCTCTTGGGAAGTTAACCATTTCTTTAACTTTCATTTAATCAACATGTTTTTAAATCCCCTCTTAGGCAGCCAAGGGCAGTTTCCACTCACACAGAATGTAACCGTTGTTGAAGGAGGAACTGCAATTTTGACCTGCAGGGTTGATCAAAATGATAACACCTCCCTCCAGTGGTCAAATCCAGCTCAACAGACTCTCTACTTTGATGACAAGAAAGGTGAATACATTTTCTTTTAAATGTTTTAATCATATTCTAAAATATCCTAATTATAATGAATTTATTTTTCTGAGATGATTCAAATTATTCCTTTTGATTACTAAACTGCTTCTGCTTGTGTTTAAACATGTTAAATATTAAATACTTTAGTTTGCAAGTCATAAACACTAAAGATAACCTATGTCAACTTTTTAATAAAATAAACAGTTCTAATTCTGTTTCAAAAATAGCTTTATACCTTCTCTAAACAATCACCTTCTTTCCAGATACCATATTATTTTGTTCTTATAGCTGCATTGCGTGCAGATTGAATATTTTTTCTCACTTACGGTATTGTGATGTTATTTCTATTACCATTGCCTTAATATATTTAGAAGATGCTATGTGATTTTGGAAAGTTTTATTATTTATTCTCATGAATTGTGTTTGAAAGTAAGAATTATAGAAGTAATTTTCATAATAAGTTTATGTAATTCCATGTTTCCAAAATAAATTAAATAAGAAGCTTATTTACATCAAATTGAGTTGGACTTTATCAGTTAAATGGGCTTTCAATTAGATGAAAGATTTTGATTAAACATTTTTAGAGAAGTAAAAAAAGTATATTGTATAATTCAGACAAATAACTAAAAATGTATTCTGAGTTTCTAAGTATTCACTCATTATTATAAACCTTGGGTGGAAAATGAGTTCATGAACTCTAATGAAAATATGGGATTGTTTATTTAAACTTAAAATATATAGGATATTAATATTTATTTATACTCTATTCAGTATGATCTTTTACCTGAATTTCTTTTGACTCTATATAGATAAGATAATTTGCAATCAGCTTCATTTAAATAAAGTATATTCATATTAATCCAGTAAATGTACGCTTTCTACCTAAAATATGAGTTTACTATATTGTCTGCATTGCTACAATTTTTCTTCTTTAATGTAAGGGACTCCTTTATATTCTCTTACATGTTCCTGTAAATTTTTTGTCCTCCTAGGTACACATAAAGATTTACATTCAAATAATTTTTGTAGTGATCATTAATTTTCCTTTAGGTTTAAGATGAATCTGTGGCTTTCTTTAAACTTTAATATATAGTAAGTAGATGAAAAATCAAATTCATTGATTTGACAAATATTATATTTTGCGGGCTCTTTTGTACAAGGCAGAGTTAGAATAGACAGATAGATAATCCCCGCTCATATAGGGCATGCAGACTAGTAGGGGAGACAGACAATAATCAAACAACATGTGAACAACATATTTTAGAGTATATTGGTAAGTGACAAGTGTTCTCTGTCCCTTAATAGATAGACAGGCACATATGTCTCTATATAGAAAGATAAATGATAGATATCTACAGAGAGAGATAGAGATAGAAACTGAGTTTAAGAAATTAGCTCAAGTGACTGTGGAGGCTGGCAAGTCTGAAACTTTCAAGGCAAGCCAGCAAACTGGAGACTCAGCAAAGAGTTGATATTTCCACCCCAGTCTTAAGGCAGTCTGGAGGCAAAATCCCTTCTTTAAAGGACCTCAATCATTTTTCTTAAATCCTTCAGCTGATTGAATGAGGCTGTCATGTAATACAAGTAATGTGTTTTACTCAAGGTCTAATGATTCAAACGTAAATCTTACCCAAAATACCTTCACAGCAACACCCAGGATGGTGTTTGATCAAGGATCTAAGTACCATGGGCTAATTATAACTATCAAAGAGGTTTAGGAATGCTAGCATTTCTGTAGAACTTTATTATTTAGAAAGAGCTCTTATTTGCCCTCTTTCATTTTGCTATCTGGGAGATAAAAAGGACAGATAATACTACTCACCATATTTTAAGAGGAGTATTTGGGAGGAAGGAGTTAAAGCTCTCATAATTATTTTGAGACAAAGTCATTATTGTGACTTAAACATCATGACTTAATTATCGGCCAGACCTAGAGCCAACATTGTGACTGTATTTAAGTTTTGATTACAGTGTTTGATGTGCAGTTCGTGTTTAACAGAAACTCTGTGTCATAAAGATTTTTTTTTGTACTTTAAGAATATTTTAAGGAGTCTAAAAATAGATTTTAAAGCATTCATCTGCTAAACACTCACTATAGCAGTATTAATGTAATTTTAATCCTTATTATATTACTGATTATTTAATGCTTTTGATTAAGAGCTTTTTTTATCACACTGTGAAAAATTTTAAACATACTTATGGACAATAAAACATCTCTTTTCAATCTGAGAAATAGCTAAGGAATATTTAATGTGATATTTTTAAGCATTTGTAAAGAAAATATATTATTCTTGTATAAAAAGTCCATCTTATAAAGGATTAACTAAGCGAATTAGAATTCACAAGTATAACTCACATAAACCAGGTTATATTTAGGTAAATTTGATGGGACTGGAAGTTGTATAAGTAAATGCAAAGCTTGACAACTTTTTAATTTCATTGGTTTGTAGTTTTGTCATGCTAATATTATATAAGCTTTACATATTTATCTTAAATTTACCAGTTTTTTTTGATACATGTGAAGATACATGTCCTATAACAAAAAGTGTTAGTGTTTACTTTTTTTTCAGTCCTTTACAATGTTTGGAGGAGTTTGTTATAGTTGTTTCAAATCAAGTGATCTATGTTGTTTTCCAAAGAATGAAGTTCTATTAGTTAAAATAATTAAATACATAAGCAAGAAGTCACAAAGGTTTAACAAACTGCTTTTGCTTTTAGTACTGATTACAAGTATTTGTAAACAAATATTTAAAACATATGTATGTATCAAAATACAATACTGTATCAATTTTAAAGAAGTCTCTCATTTGCCCAATGTTATAAAACAAAAGAAAATATTTTTGAGGAAAACACACTTTTAGGGATGTTAATACAACAATAAATATATAAGTATGATATGTAATGTATCAATTTAATTATATGCACACTTTTAAACTAATATAAAACATACTAATTTAGAGATATTTATTTGTTTCTACCCTTGCATTTAATGAAATAATTTCACTTACCAACCATTTTCTTGAAAGTGTAGATACTATCAATGACAAATTTGTCTCAAGCAACAATGATAAATTTTTATAACGTCAGAGCATTCTTTATTGTTCATTCATTCACCAAGAGCATAATAATTATCTCCACTATGTAGAAACTTATTTTATTTTACCACTTTTTTAAACAGATCTTTGAGAGTCATGTTTATAGCAACATCTACATCAGTGAGTTCAAATCCTCAAGCACAAAAACAAAATCTATACAAAATGTCTCTGCCTCCTCTTGTAGTGATTGTATAAGTTATCCTCTCTATATAACATCTAAAACTAGAATTGATTCAGGGTATTTCAAGCTAGTGCATCCTTCCCATAGCAAATAGAGAACAACTTGTAAAGCAAGATTTGCATAACTTGGAAATAAGGCAGCCCCTCTTTTCTGATTAATAATTATAGTGAGAAAAGCCATTATGTTATATTTGTAATATTTAGTAATGTATTCCTGTGTCTTACCGCTACAAGATGATACATCTGATTCCATGAATTGTTGAAGTATGCACTTGCTCTTATTCATTTTTCCTATCATAATTGCTACACAGTTTAGACTTATTTGAAAAAAGCTAGTGTGTATATATGTGTATGTGTTTATAATAAAGCAGATTTCTGTTTTCAATATTAGACTTTTTCTAACTGTATTGTGGTTCTAATTGTCAGTTGCAAAAGATTAGCAGAAAGTTCTGAATAAAGAACCTTTCATGAGTGGCAATCTGACAAGTCTGTACATTCTCACAAGTATTGGGTTCAATTCTTATGGGATGCCTTAGTGGAAGGTATTCTGGACAATGACATACATCAAATGCAAGAGTTTGATAATGAAAACATTTCTGAAGATTCCATATCAGAGTTTTCCCCACACTGTCTTTTTGTCTGCATTTACATGCTGAACCTCAATCCTAAGGCTTATCTTGAGCAAACAAACATGCTACTTTGTGCGAGAGCCAAAGCAGAAAATCTGGGTTAGTGTGACTAGAGTGTCCCATATATGTTGTGCAAGTGACAACTGCTCAGAACAATAGAGAAAACAGTGGGTTGTCTGTGTCACTGATTGCACCAGTTCCTACAGGTGGCTGCAACTGTTAAAGGCTTCATTTACAGCCTGTTTTTATTTCTGTCTCAGCTGATGTTGCCCTTTGTTCTCGGGAGCTTTCTGAATAGAATAGTCCATGTCATGCAGTATCACAGTGGTTTAATTGTGTCTCAAATGATTATAAAATGCAGCTGAAGTTGAGAAGCTTTGGGTTAAGCAAATCCATTTTCCTAAGAGTTCTGTACACCTACACTTAGATTTCTGTACTTACACAGGCTATTGAGAAAGAAGGAAAAGACGGGGACAGGGAGGGAGGGAAGGAGGGAGGAAGGGAGGACAGAAGCTGCTCAAAGAACAGAACAAGTGCTTCTCATTATCATTGCTGGTACCAGTGTGAGCTCTAAGAGGCATTCTGAGAGCCTTTCATGCTACTTGGAGACTCAGGCCCTAAGGGTCCTAGCTGTGAAGGTTGAACAAAAAACTCAGGATGGGAGCCCGTTGGTCCAATTAGAATTGGTAAAGCCTTTCTTATTTACTTGGAAGTATTACCCAAAGAAAAGCATGCTGTGAGCTGGGAGTTGATCAGGTAAGGAAAAATTACACTGAGCCCCTCCCCTAGGAGACTGTGTCAGGGAGGTAAAAATGGGACTATTCAGGAATCTCTTCACAAGAGAGATTGGTGTCCAGGGGAGCGCTGGATAAATCAAACAAATATTGTAATATTTCTCATTCAGGTAAAATATGGAGGAGGGCAGAGAATTCAGGTTTTGCTACCTTGAACATGTTTAACATGATCAGTAGCTGTTGTCATTTACAAATAAAGATACTGAGGATCAAACACTGGAGGAAATTTATCCACAGTCAGCTAATGCTTAGTAATGATGGGACTTGAATCCAGGTGTGGCCTCTGTATTAGTTTTGAC